TCTCTCTTTCTCTGTCTCCTCTCTCTCTCTCTCTCTGTGTCTCCTCTCTCTCTCTCTCTGTCTCCTCTCTCTCTCTCAAGCTAGAACTACCATGGATATTAATATTAAACTAAATAAAATTTTGGCAGACTTGTATCTAAAACCCTTGTTTTGTTCTTTAGTTGTTCAGTCATATCCAACTCCTCGTGACCCCATTTGGAGTTTTCTTGGCAAAGATACTGGAGTGGTTGGTCATTTCCTTCTCCAGCTCATTTTATAGATGAGGAAACTGAAGCACAGAGGGTTAAGTGATTTGCCTAGGGTCACACAGCTAGTAAGTGTCTGAGGTTAGATTTGGACTCAGGTCTTCCCGAGTCCAGGCACTCTACCCACTGTACCACCTAGCTGCCCTAAACCCTTAGTGTGGTATTAATATTTTTTTTTCCTCTGACATCTGTATACTTTCCACTTTTTCTTTTGATGTCCTTTCCAAAACACAATTCCCAGCTTTTTGCCCAATACCCTAACCTTTTAAAAATTCTGTCTTCTATCCTAGGCCATGAGAACACGTTCAAAATGAGAACAATCTCATCAGGCAGGCAGAGAGGGTATTATTAGCTCCATTTTACAGATGAGGAAATGGAGATTCAAGGAGTTTAGTGGCTTGGCCAAAGTCACATAGGCAATTAGTAATGCAGCTCAGATTAGAACTCAACTCTCTTGAGACCCCATGTAGCATCTGCCTCTAGTGGAGAGATTCTGCTCCACATGTGACTAAGCAGCAATGTGGAAATTTTAGACAGATTTCCAACAAGTGGTGAGTCCAAAAGATATGCCTTTTTAGCCCTGAATTAAACCCTAAATTCCACATTCATTTAGCCAGAAGATCCTCAAATCTGTCTCCACTAGCTGAATGCTTTGTTTGAGGCAGGAATTATTTACATAATCACATTCTAATTCATTTTCCATTTATCTGCAAACTATTGAGTCTGAACTTCCACAATAGGTTTTAAGTTCTTTGAGGGTAGGGGACACTTTTGTTAAGCCTTGTGCCCCCTCCATGCTTAGCATTGAACCTAGAAAGTAGAAGCTGAGTATCTGTTGAAAGAATAAATACACATATCTATTTTAAATATCTGTTGAAATAAATATCTGTTGAAAGAATAAATACACATATCTATTTTAAATAATTCACCATCTTTCTGCTCTGACTTCTAGATTCATGCTCATTGATATAACTCAGACTCATAAGAAAACCCACAAATTTGACCAGGTTAATAAAAGCCACTTACAGTGAAAGAGTCTGAGCAAGGAAGACTGATTTCCTTTCTCAATTAGGTTGATCTGAGACCCAACTCTCTAGTCAGTGCTTTGCACCTAAATGTTGTTCACTTTGCATTGCCCAGCAACTACTGGACATTTGAATGTTGAGCCCTCCAAATCGACTCAAAAGAGCCCCGTTAAAATACGAATCTGTTAACCCACACTAGCTAACACATGACCCAAATAATCTAACACCATTCAATAGCCAGCCTGGTAAGGTGAAAAGTCTTTTACCTGAGAGACCTGAGGAGACCTTAGTTTCCTTCTCAACTTAGCTTTAAGCTTTCAGTGTGATCAAGAACAAGGCACTTCATCTCTCTGGTCCCCTTATGCATCACTTTTAGGATGACAGGATTAAGTAATATGGTCACATATCCCTTCCAGCTTTAAGTGTCCAAAGATCTGGTCAGAATAATTACTTCACCCACTGCATGACTTTCTGTGGTCTCCATCTTTGAATATGGCATTACCACTCTAGGCTCTTGTCCACTTCTCCCTGCTAAAAATCTTAGCCTTAAAGGATTTAAGGCTCAGTTTAAATTTTAGTCCATGAAGCCTTCCCTGATAGCAGCAGAAAGTGGTCCCTCCCCCTCTGACTTTGTATAACACCTTACTAGTCCCTCCTTCAAGCTCATTTCTTTCTTTCTTTTGTATTATAGCTATGTGGCCATACTTTTTCCCCAATTACTAGTTATAAACCCCTAATGGGCAGGGGATAGGTGTGAAGTGGTTAGAGTGCCAGACCTGAAGTCAGGAAGACTCATCTTTGTGAGTTCAAATCTGGCTTTAGACACTAACTAGCTGTGTGACCCTGGGCAAGTCACTTTACCCTGTTTACCTCAGTTTCCTCATCTGTAAAATGAGCTGGAGAAGGAAATGGCAAACCACTCCAGCACCTTTGCCAAGAAAACCCCAAATGGGGTCACGAAAAG